AGCTCCAAACCGGACTAACTAACTAACACCTCTGTCGCCACGGCAACGCCCAGGGTCCGACAGGACCCAGAGGAGGAGAAGAAGAAATAAAAAGAAAAAGAAGAAGAAATAAAAAGGCAGCGTTTCCTGCTGTTCCGTCTGGATCAGGATCAGGATCAGGATCAGGATCAGCTCGAAACCGGACCAGGACGCTAACAAACCCAGATGTCTCCACTGGGGTCAGAGGTCACCGCCAGGGCCTGTCTTTGAATCCCTTTTAATTCTATCTGGTGCAAAGATTTCTTTAGTATGATACTTATTCATAGTGAATTATGGCTTATTATTGACTATAGTTTGGATCAGGGGAACATATGTTGATATATTATTACGGAAAATTGTTTTAAAGAGGTGAAAAGAGCAAAATATATTATAATCAAAAGCTAAGTTAAAGCCAAGCCCTGCTTTGACTGAACAAGAAGGAAGTTTCACAAAATACTTCAAAGATTCATATTATGTTTCATGAATAAAATGAGCCATCACAGATGGACCGGATCCTTTTTCTTTCCCCTTAAATCTCTGTAGCTTTTTAGTCTCAAAGGGTCGGCGACTGGGTTCGGTCCACCGACGCCAAACGAACCCGTTTTGCAGGAACATCAGCGGCATCGCGGTGTTGCTTAGCAACAACTCGGCGGTTTGGTTAAACAGATCACATAAAGATGGATAAAAATACCTTCGATATATTAAAAACTTCGCCTCTAACCAAATAAATGTTCAAATCACCGCCTGCGCTCTCAAATTATTCGATATAAGTCCGACAAAATTGTCACTTTTTTATTGGGTCTGTTGCTATGTGACGGTTCCTTTATGAGTATTCGACCACTTTTTACCTGGTATTTTCCAGAATCATCGAATAGAGTACTTTTATGGGTTTACTTCCAATGTCAGAATGACAGAAACTGTTTAACAGACGTCCAATCAGATTGCGGCAAACATCTGGCTTGTTTTTGGGAAGTCAGAGGCCCAAACGGGGTCATTTATAGCGCGACCGGTGTTTTTCGGAGCCCGTTTTTTCCCCCAGCTACGTACCCCCTCCGGTCGGAGCCGTAGGCCAGGTGCTCGTCGTCCACCTCAGAGCGGTAGGAGAGGGAGGAGCCGGCCATGGACAGCAGGTCCGGGTCCGGGGACATGAGCGAGGACTGTTGGGAGCTCAGCAGGCTCCGGCGGGAGCGGCACAGGCTGCTGTTGCGGGTCAGCGGGGGCCGGATCAGGGGGGCTGCTGGGTAAGAACGGGAGGGGAAAATTCAATCCCAATTCAATCTTATTTCTATAACACCAAATCACAACAGCAGGGATATCACACCTTTCCAAACAGAGCAGGTCAGACCAACTCTGAGTTATTTACAGAAACCCAACAATTCCCAATAAGAGCAGCACTAGGCGACACAGGGAAGCAAAAACTCAACTGTGCTTCCCCAACACACAGCCTAAAAACGGCTGTTGTGGTCGTACGTCGTGTTGTTTCTTTCTTTGTATTTTAATCCATACTGAATATGTACAACATGGATTCATGTATCAGGATGGGAGTCCGAGTCCTGTCTGCAACTCGAGTCTCACACCGGCAAAACTAAAGGAACACTTCTTATTCTGGCCCCAAAAAAGTATTTTGTGGATTCAAAACGAAAAAAAAACTAATTAAATTTCAGATAAAAAATATTAAATTATTAAAAAATGTAAAATTTAATAATAAAAACACAAATACAATGTATTCTTAATTAGTAAAATAGTAAAAAATATATATTTTGGGGGTTGAAATTCTTTTATTGGGCCGAAATATTTTTGGGGGGCCAGAATAAAGTAATACTGTAATTTGTTGTGAGTTCGTGCTCTGTGTTGGTTTTGTTTTCTGAGCAGGGTGATGTTCATGTACGGCTCATTTTGTGCACCAGTAAAAAAACATATAGCTATGTCTTGAATTTAAAAAATAATAATAATAATAAAGCTTTTATGTATCACTAGAGAAGGTTCAGTGAATGCCCATCTGAAACTGGGGGTTCGGGTTAAGAGTGAAGCCCAAAGGCTCCCACTCACAGCTGAACTGTGGAATGATGGGCGGCGTGTCCTCGTCCAGGTCGTCCACGCCGCCGGCGATGGGGTACGGCGGCACGGAGACGCGGGGCATGACCACCCAGCTGTGGTCGGAGTACAGGCTGGCCGTCAGGCTGGGCAGGCCCGAGTTGTTCACCACGGGGAAGCCGCACAGCTTCTCGATCTGCTGCCAGCGGTGGAGCCGCTCCCTCAGGCATGCCGTCACCTCAGACAGAGACTTCCTGGAACACAAACCGGATCAGACCGGATCAGACCGGATCAGACCGGAGCAAACCGGATCAGACCGGATCAGACCGGATCACACCGGAGCAAACCGGATCAGACCGGATCAAACCGGAGCAAAACGGATCAGACCGGAGCGAACCGGATCAGACCGGATCAAACCCAACCCATCATCTTTCAATCAGCTCAGAAAAACCTAAAGAAATGTGTCAGTTTTCAGAAAAGCTTCTAAAAGCTGATGACAAATGTCTCAAATCTCCTTATAACATAATATATCCAGAATTTAACTAAGTTTTTAATTTTTTTTTAATCAAAACTTAGTTAAACTAATGTTTCAAAGCTGCTACAATTGTTAATTTTATCATTTAAATAATTGAAAAAGGTGAAAAGGATGTATTTTAACTCCCTTTATGCTGCACAATGCTGCCCCCTAGTGGGCCAAATGGGTTCGTGACTGTCTAAAAACACACTTTTTTAGACAAACTACAGGAAAAACAAACAGCTATATGAGGACAAGTGCGGTTAAAGCTGGCCATCCGTGTGATTATCGGTGGGACTGGAGGCCGTTTCCTCACTTTGCTTCCAGAATCTTGTGGTCAACCTCGTCCAGGGACGAACTGTGGGCCACGTGAAGGGTCCCGAACACGGAGCCCCTCTTCTTTTTGATCTTCTCTGCCTGGTGGAAGGATTAGAGAGTTTAGAGTTACCCCGGGCTTTCACCGGGACCTGAAGGCGTCGTCTCTCTCCGATTAAAAGGGAAAAACACTCCAACTGTTCTAATCGGTGCTTTTTAGGCGTAGCAAATGGAGAACAAAAAGAGTAACCAGAGACTTTGTTTAGAGTACTGTAACTCCAAATGAGGTAAAAGATCCCCCCCCCCACCTGCCGCGGATACTGTTATTGTTGGAATAAAAACGTCATTTGAAAGCAGCACGAGGTCAGACCGATGTAACTGAACTCTAATGCTGACGTGCGTGTCATGTGGGGGGTTAGGGAATCAGATCTGCATGAAAAGGTGTCAAACTAAATAAACACCTGAGAGAAAGTAGAAAGACTGAGTAAAGTAAAATGAAAAAGCTTTAAGCTTTGACTGTTTCTGAATCGTCAGGCTGAGTCAAAAGTAAGAGGACATCCTTTTATTTCAGAAACTGAAGAGAAAACGACAATCAGAATAACCCAAGGGACTATTTTTTACATGGCCGCCAGCTTAAAAGCCGCCATGTTGGATCAAGGGTGAGTTTTTCCCCAATATGGAGGTGGTCGTGTAGCCTAAGGAGCTCAGAAATAGACATCAGATTTTAAATATATCTGGTGGATCAAAATGATCAACTGTGTGAGTATTTCTGGGAAGAATCGTTTATCTAAACTTAACCTTTGATATCATAATACCAGAACAAACTTAGAATTGATTATTTCACTCATAAAAGAGTTAGTTACGCGTTATTAAAGTGCATCTTAGGTATCGTAGAGAGTTCAAATCGAAATTTAGTGGTTTAATTAAAAAATTTAAAATAAAAAAAACACTATTTAAATGGAAATTAGCTTTCAAAAACGTGTTATCCAATGGGAGAAGACCTCTCAAAGTCCCGCCCACCTGACAGGTTTTCAGCAGGAAAAGTCTTGAATAAAGAAAACAAAAGAGTCCTTCTAAAAACGCGAACAGGTTTTTAGCTTTTGCCGCTTTCAGGGACGTAACCCCCGGAGACGCCGCCTGGTTACCTCGTCTTTGGCGACGCACAGCTGAAACTCGGCGCTCTGCTTCTTGATGTTGTAGTACTGGACCTCCACCTCGTGCGTGAGCTGCAGCCACATCTGCAGCGCCTCCGGCACCGAGCGCTCCGACTGGATCTCCTTCTCCGCCCGCTTCAGGGCCTTCCGCACCTGGAGGAGGGGGGGGGGCGGATTAAAGCGCCCCGGGGGCGAGAACGTCTGGCTGCAGGCTGCAGGAAGCCAAGGACGGATATCCAATCCATATCCAAGTCGGCCATTTTGATCAGGTCACCAATAGGAAGATCCCAGGCAAGAAAATCGTAATTGCTCCATGGCAATATAGACGTCAATTTAAAAATAGTGAAATTAATCTTGCAAACACTGTATTAAACTCTATACACAATATTATGTTAAAATATTATATGTTAAATAGGTTTGTAAAATAATTCCAAACTAGTTTAACCAAATAATATTTATTTCTCACAATTATGAAGGGTGGAGGGTCAGGGTTAGGGTTAGGGGTAGGGTTAGGGTCAGGGTTAGGTTCAGGATTAGGGTTGGGATCAGGGTTAGGGTTAGGACATCGTTTGTCTTCCGATTTCGTATAGTCATTAAAGTTTCGTTTCCACCTCCGAAAGCTGTTAGTCACATGACCTAATCAAAATGGCCAACTTGGATGTGGGAGGAGTTGTGTCCTGAACAAAAACACTTCACCCCACAACTTTTCATTCTTCTGTTTATGACCTATTTGTTGTGTTTTATGCTGTTATAATTTATCATTGGTCACTTTAATTAACTGCTAACTACTTTAGTTCAGTTTATTTTCACCCTGTATCACAAGTGCTGGACGGCAATTTCCCCTCAGGACTAATGAAGCCTTTAGAATTCAATTTAATTTAATGTGGAAACTGGTTTAAATCTGGTTCAGATGCTGGAGACGTTTTGATGGACAAAAGGGAAAACTCAGGTCCACATACTGGTTCTGAACTGGGTGTTTTACAGTAGCTTTTGCTCCCATAATGAGCATAATGAGCAAAAACAGGATGAGAAGCGTCCCCTCTACCTGCACCAGCTCCTCCTCGGCGTATTTCAGCCGGCTCAGCTCGCACTCTGCGCCCTCCCGCAGCTCCCGGAGCCGGTGGGCCTCCTTTTTGGCCCCGTTTATCTCGTCCCTCATCTTCTGCTCCAGGTTTTCCTTCTCCACGGCAACCGTGCGGTTCTCCTCCTGCGCCTTCTCCAGCCTGGGGGGGGCACAAACAGGGTGCTCCAATTACAACTACTGTTCCTGTTCCTATAGCTATTATTACTACTATAATTATCATTACTGTCAATATCTGTAGCATTAATCATCCAGTCTATAGCAACACTACCTTTACTTGTCTGTACCTCTTAGGGTTGCACGGTAGTAATATTTTCAACTTGATACCGATACTCAGGAAAATATTCGATACCATTTTCGATACCACGAGGATAAAAAACAAAGTGAAAACTGAATTTTGACAGGATAGAGTCTTTGGTTTCAAACTGACCTATTGATTTTATGGTGGCCGGTGGCCCGTTGGCGTGTTATTATTAGCCATTAGCCGCAGCTAGCAATTCAATCCTAACGTCATGTTGGGTGGGGGGATCGATACTTTTGTATCCGGATACAACGTCTTAGCAGCTATACTTTTTTGAGTATCAATCCTTTCGACAACCCTAGTACCTCCTCCTAAAGGCAGTTTTTCCTTCCCTGTGTCACCTAGTGCTGCTCTTGGTGGAAATCGTTGGCTTTTTGTAAATAAGTCCGGTTTGGAAAGCGCTGCGAGAGAACTGCTTTTGTGATTTGGCGCTATACAGTGGGAGAAATAAGTATTTGACCCCTTGCTGATTTTGCCGGTTTGCCCACTTACAAAGAATGCAACGATTTATAACTTTAATCATATGTACATTCTAACGGTGAAAGACAGAATCCCAAAGAAAATTCCAGAAAATCACATCATATGAATTTATAAAAATTGATAACCATCTGATGAGGAAAAATAAGCATTCATTGTAAGTGGGCAAACCTGCAAAATCAGCAAGGGGTCAAATACTTATTTCCCCCACTGTATAAATAAGACTGATTTGAAATTGAACTGAGGGTTGGGTGGGGGGGTGGGTATGTGGTTGGGGGGGTGGGTATGTGGTTGGGTGGGTGGGCTGGGGAGGCCCGATTCCCCGCCGTGCCTCACCGGCCCTGCAGGTCCATCAGGCTCTGCTCGGCGTTCTGCAGGCTCTCCAGGTCTCGCATCATCTGGGAGATGTGCACCCGGCTGGACTTGTTCTGCATGTAGGCGAACCAGCAGCCCCCGACGCCGATCACTATGGAGACCATCAGGATGAAGTCTTTCATCCAGTTGTGCTGTGGACCTGCAGGAGGGAAAGGGGGAATAGAAGAGCGTTGAGGGTTTCCACCGGCAGCTCTGAGCCCTCTGGACCCCTATGGTCCACCGGACGTCCACTCACGGAGGGGGGGGCCGAAGAGCACGGCATCCAGCGCCTTCAGGTTCAGCTTCTGCTTGTGCCGCTGGTCTAATATCTTCAGCTGCATCGACATGAACGACGGCTCGTTCGCCGCTATTCTGGAAGGGGAGGAAAAGAAGAAAGCGTCGGGAACCAGAAGGAGGAACGGGTGGATCTAAAATGGCTACTGTGGACTGCACCATCTTTCCAAATAACTCCACCCCCCACCCCTCGTGACAGCTTCACCTTCCCCTAAACCCTCCGGCTTGCGACCCAATATGAAAACAGAGCATTCTGGATCCTTTCGATGCTCCTTTGAGAACCTGGAAAGAAAACCTCCAAACCCTGAGCGTGCAGTTACATTCTTACACCAGCAGGGGGCAGCAGAGCCCTGTGTAACGGGACCATGAGGAGTAGAAGAGCAGCTGCTGGCAGAGTGGGACCGAAACGTCTTGATTAAAGATCACGTGTGCCGGCGAATGAGGGGGGGGGGGGGGGGGCAGGCTGCTACTAACCGAGGCAAAGTGTTCCCCGTCACCCGGAAGTCTCTGAAGTTTTTCTCGTACTGCGGCAGCTCCACCGACTCCCGGAGCCACTGCACCGCGTCGTCCATGGTCCAGTTATGGACTGAAAGAAACAAAGAAATAAAGGCGGGGGGGGGATTATCGGGGGTGAAATGGAGCTTTTGTGTTAAGTCAAAGCACAGATGCACTCGGCTAAAGTCGAGAATCAATAAAGGTTCTTTATGTTCCGTTGATACCAGGCAGAAATGGTTTTGGGATCTCAAACCGGGTCCTCAAACCGGTCCCCCTCTTCCAGATCCACATCGGGGGAGGGGGGGGTTCGTGTGTCCGGCCTTTTGATTTCACAACTCAGTAGGTAAATCAGCCACTTTAAGTCTGACCTGACAAACCTCAAACTGACCTCGGTCATTTGGATATCTGGCCACTTGCCTGTGACCAGAGAGGGGAAACGCGAGTAAAAAAACACCCTGATGAGGATTCTGGTTTGTTTTATTGCTCAATTCAAACCGTCCGCTTTTTATCTGGATGGATGTGGTTAAAAAAGCGGCAAAAGCGAAAGGAGGGATGGGTTTTTATCATTTCATTTGGGGAGACTCTGCTGGACAAGCATCAGAAAAACCTGCGAGTTTCCTCACTTGTCTCTGAAATATGAGCAGAAAGAGTAAAAAATGCTAAATCCAGAGACAAAGGTCTCTAAATTGAAACAGAGTAAACAGCAGGAAGAGAAATGGGCGCTAAAAAAAACGTGTAAAAAATGTAAAAAAAAGAGGAAGAGAAACAGTAAACTGATCTCTGACACCAAAAAAAAAAAGGTAAAATAAAACAAAACAATGATTAAAGGAAAACCACCTAAATTGAAATTTAAAAAAAACAAAAAAATGAGCCATTGGACTCGTTTTTCTGTCTCTATTGCATTTAATTTAAGCAAATCTGAGACGATGGTTGTGGATTTTTCTGCTCTGGTTTGGTTGAAAACAAAGAAAACTGGTCTCATGTTGGATGGAGACAAATATCCTGTTTTTAAAAGCCCTCCGGGGCGATTCGCGGGACAATAAATGACAGATTGGGGATGCGCGTTTGAAGACGAACCGCACAGGCGTGTGTGTGTGTGTGTGTGTGTGTGTGCGTGTGTGTGTGTCCTCTGAGGGTAACTTAAAAGAGGAAGACGGCTTTGTGCGGATCTAATTATAGCAGCCGGCCTTCAAAACCACAAGTTTATCACTTTCACTGGAACATCTTCACTGCTCAGTTAAAAAAGGCCTTTAAGTATTCTAATTTTAGAAAAAAAGAAACTAATAAATGTTGAACGAAGCACTCTGGATTTTACCGGTTCCTCACAGTTCAGCTGCATCGATTTGAACCAAAACTGAACCGTGTATGGTTCCCGTTTTCCCCCGTTTGGAGGTGTGTGTGTGTGTGAGAGTGTGTGTGTGTGGGGGGGGGGGGGTTCACCTTCAGAGCTCTTCCAGCCCCTCCACAGCTCCTCCACCGTGATGTGCTGGTCTTCTCGGTGCAGGTTGCTGTGTTTGTTGGTTTGCTGCTGCTTCATGTCTTCTATGATGAACTAAAGGGGCAGAGAGAGAGAGGGAGGGAGAGAGAGAGAGAGAGAGAGAGAGAGAGAGAGAGAGAGAGAGAGCTTCAGCACCATGGCAGCAGAGATCCACCATGGAGGCTCAGACCTTTGAGGTGTGGGCTCTCAATGGCCACCAATGACTACTTCTTATTTATCTGAATCTAAACTGTTTATTTGCTCGGTTTGGTGTCATTTTTCTGCTATTTTTTTTCTATTCTGGGCCTAAAACCACACAGAAACACGAAATTCAGGCAGGTAAAAGTTGGATTTTTACCATAAAATGCTAATAGAAATGGTATAAAATGGTATAAAAGAATGGTATAAAATAGAAACCGCATAACAACAACAAGAACAACATTTATAAACAGATTTTTACATAAAAATGCAGCAACTGAACCAGCATTTTCAGCCCGAGATCAAAATTCTTCAAGATCCCATATAAACTGTATGTTTCTGCCCACATTTCCTTTTTCCTCAGCAACCAAATGCTGCACGTCGCTTTTCAGTCTTCTGATTGGTTGATGAGGTGCAATTTTGAAAGGGGAGTCCACATTTTTTCCCACCTAAAATGACAACCCCATTAAGGAAAAAGCACAAAGTAAATGACCGATTTTAAATCTGGTTTTAATCAGCATTCGAATTTAAAAACTGGCTCAGTCGCTTTGCTTCAGGTACATAATAAATCATTAAAAAAAATTTAAAAAAATGTTTTATAATAAAAAAAATACAATACTGTATTTTTTGTATTTTTTTTGCATTTTGCTCTCTGTGTGCCACATTTTTGCCCTGTAAGCTGCTGGTAACTTTAATTTCCTGAGGGAGTCTTCCCAAGGGATCAATAAAGTACGAGTCCCGTCGGCCTTAACCAGGATCATGGCCGACGACCAGACGCCTCATTCATCCCGGGGCGGCGGGCCTGTCGGTGTGTGGTCCGGGCAGGAATTGAAGCCGAAGAAACATCCGTTTAATTCATGCTAGCGGCCCGGGCTTGATTACAAATTAGCCTTTGACTGCAGTGCGTTACGACGTTGTTTTATCGCTTCCATTTGCAAAAAAAACACATCATTTTAATGAGCTTCACTCGACTTTATGCGTGCGTTTAAGGGGGAAGGAAAGCAATTAGTGTTATGCTGTGTCATGCTAACGCTCAGGTAGCTTTATCCGTAAAACGCTGTGTTCCCCGGGTCAAAGAAAGACAGAAAATTCCCTTTTTTATGTTTCTTTTAACATGACATGTGAATCGGGGATGTTCAGAGGGGACTAAACGTGTTTTTCTTTACATGTAAGGTCAAGATTTTCCTCATGGTAACCTAACTTCCTGTTTTTTTCTGAGAGGAAAAACAGGTTTCTAAAAATGTGGGTTTATTGGGGAGGGCCGCCCACCCTGAGCCATGGTTCTGCTCCAGGTTTATGCCTGTTAAAAGGAAGTTTTTCCTTGCCTGTGTCGCCTAGTGCTTGCTCATGGTGGGAATTGTTGGGTTTCTGTAGTTAACTTCAGAGTAGGGTCTGACCTGCTCTGTTTGGAAAGCGCTGTGAGACAACTGTTGTTGTGATGTGGCGCTATATAAATGAAATGAAATTTAATTGAATTCATTTTGATTTTGTAATGTCATTGTCTGAACGTGTGTTTGGAGTGATTTTGTATTTTGTGGTTTTGTGTTGTTTGGTCTTCCTGCCTCAGGACGACAGATGTAAACTAGCAACTATGCTATAATCTGGCTCTTTTACAATCTGTATGAGATTGTTCATTAATGTGCACTGTCCTGAATAAAATAAACATAAACTTTATTCTTTAAATTAAAAACATCTTATTTTGGCATATCTATGTATTAGAAAATATAAATTGGGGGTTTGAAATATACAAGTCCTTTTCTTTTTTAAGTCCAAGAACATGTATTTAAAGGCTAAATGTGTAGTCAACAAAACAACAAAAGTTGGTGCTAGCATGTTATCTCCAATAAAAGCTGCTTTAAGAAAATCTTTTTAGACTCCTGAGAAGGCACAAACAACAGAAAAAAATGAAAACTATAACCCCATCAGCAACATTGATGGGAAATCCAGGTCACAAATCAACGAGTTTCTCATTTGACTGAGAAGCCAGAACTGGACAGATGCTAGCATAGTTTTTTAACAGCGCAAAGTTCCTTTGAAAAGCTCCTAAAAGCAACTCTGGAGACACCTTGAACCTCCCGACACCTCTTGAGGAGAATCCAGAAACCCTCTCCTCCTGTCACAGAGGGACAAAGAAAGGCTTTGTTTTCTGTCTAGGAATGCTCTGAGATCCTCTGAGACTCCAGTCTGGAGAAGATAAGGGCGCCCCTCTGTTTGTTCCAGGAGTCGGACAGATGTTGGGAGGGAAAAGTGAACATCAGCTTCTCTGTAAACTCCTAATAAAACGTCCCGTACACAGAGTCAATTAAACTACAAAAACAGGAGATTTGGAGAGAGGAGGAAGAACCGGTGAGTTTTTCTGACGACTTCCTGATTCGCTTACTGGTGAGTTGCACTTCTGCTTTTTTATTTTTTATTTTTTTGGCTTTATTTGCTTCTTCCTCTGGTCTGGGTGATACTCATCTCTCAGGAACTACCCCGGCCTGAGTGTTTATGGCCGTTATTGTTGGTGGTGATTATTTATGGGTCCAGCAGCGATGATTATATCTCTATGATTAGAGTTGTTTGCATTCCTATTCATTTCGTTTTCATTTCGGTCATTTTATCCTGCTATTTACATGCTTACTGTCACTAATAGAAGCATTACTACCATTTCTGATGGTTTTTATCATCATTCCTGATATTCTGTTGGACATGTATACAGTCTTATTCCTTATTCTTGTTTCCTCTTTTTTGTGGAGAAAGCATGCATCCAGATCCTTTATATCTGGGAAGATGAAGGAATATTTCAGCTTTTTACTCTTTCTTTTATTATCTCATTAAATCAGAGGATCGTCCGGAAGATTTTTTGTTAAATTGAAGCAAAAATATCTGTTTCAGCTTTATGAGACTTGGGCAAATAGAGATATCAACACTTTCTGTGCTCTTTGTGTGCCTAAATTCTGGAGTCAATGCCAGAAAATCGAGCTCTGCATGAGACTATTGTCAAACCTCAAAGAACTAAATCCATTCAGTTTTGTCGATGAGCGAAATATTCAAACTTTTCTAAAGATTTTATTTTTTTCCATTTGGCTCTGATGGAGCGTGAGCTTTGGGGTGGCTCACAGCTTTGCTAGGTGCTTTTCTTCTTGTTCTCACTTAGTTTTTTTCCTTTTTCTTCATTCAGCATTCAAATGCTAATGTGTGTCCCCTCTGATGTAACACCAGGCAGCAGACTAAAGGAGCCGAGTCAATGCCCAGATCCAGCCCAAACAAGGCTCTGCTCGGCCTGTGCTGCCCAGTTTTAATCAAAACCTCATGGATCTTCTTTTTTTTTAGACCGTAAAAAAACAAGGATGGAGACAGAAAGGAAATAAGGACAGGAATTGGCAGGTTTTTCCTCACTGGTAACTTGGTTTTTTGAGAAGTTTGGCTGATCAGCGAGGAGATATTTTTATTTTAATCTAATATCAAATTGGGTTCATTTGAGATGTTTATTTGATCG